ATATCACACTATTCCGACAGTATTGGTACAATTAATTTGGTATCAGTGATGTTTCCAGAGTATCAATGGATATAAATAGCTAATGACCAGCTTCAAAACTCGGCTGGTGACTCTAGGGTAATTATAAACAGGTACCATATATAGATAATCACTGTAGTTCCAAAACTGATCTGTTTTAGCTCCCTAAAGCACTGTTTTAAATCAATAACTGACCTCTCTTGACGCACTGTTTAGAAAAAGGTAAGGCGTATTTGTTCGATTTTTAATTTTTGGATCATTTGTATCATAATCATAAACTCCCACCAAATCATAATAGGATATTTATTTAACTTTTACATGTGAGGCACAAGTTGATCCCAGTGGCCTTCTCCAGGTGTACTTACTGGCTTGCTTGGCCTTTTCCATGTATGTTGTTGTAAGCTCATCATCGATGGGTTTATTCACAGGACCCACCATGGGCACGAGCTGGTTACGGGAGCCAAGCATCAGAGCCTCCTTTGCCCTCTCAGGGGATACCAGTGGCACATTGGCAGGCTCTAAAAAGCCACTATCCTCCTCTTGCCCTGCATCCCGTGGCCCTTGGTCATCTGCTGAGGATATGATAGAGGAAGTCTCTGTCGATGTCTGGGAAGACCACATTCCGGGACCATGAGGTTGGTAAATCACTTCCCTTCTAGCCACCCCTGGCAGACCTCCTCCTCCATTTCCCTCTCCACCATCCAATAAACGGGGGTAAACATGTGCATCTGGAGCGCTGTCATAGCCACTCATTTCTGATGTCTCCCCACCCTCAGGAGAGGTTCGTCCTGTGGGTTTCCCAGGGTTGGAGTTGCTAGGGCTTCGGCGTTTCTGCCTGCGTTGTCTCTCGTAGCCTGCCACATCTGCATCACTATCAGTCTCGCCATAGTAAGCCTCGCTCCCAGGTGGCGATGTCAAGCCGCTGGTTAGGGTGGAGCGGCTACGATGGACTTCGCGGACAGGTGCATGGTGAGGGTGATTTGGTGACATAGCTCGCAGAGCAGCACGGTACTCTTTGTCTATTCGGGGAGATGGGGCTCGGGTCACAAGCACCACAGACTGAAAACCAGCAGGTGCCCTGAAAACAAGTGCAAAGGTTAAAATAGTTTTAATGTCAATGAGTACCTTTGAATGTGATATCATAACTTAATTTTTTGTATTTAGTATACGCTGTCTTCTTGTTTTTAATTCATTTTAAATGCAAGGCAGCAAGTATGAAGTCAGTGCATTTTACACTTTTCTTTATCCATTACAATGAGCTGCTGATGTTTTAAGATTGAGAAGAGTTTATTTTCTCTTGTTCTTCTGACCTTTTGACCCGGATGTGTAATATCCCAGGGGAACTGTCGATGAGGTTCATGGCTTGGGCATGGGAGAGCGTTGCACATGGCTGCTCATTGATGGAGACCAGCTCATCAGCCTCCCGCAACCCAGCCCTGCATGCCTTGCTGCGTTTGCGCACCTGCATATAGGCAAAACAAGTTAAAAGCTGAAATACTAAAAATAA